CCCCCCCCCCTGCCCCGGGCCTCCCCTCCTCTCCCTGCACTGGGACTGAGCCTGCAGGAGGTGGATAGACCGGGAGGGTGGCGGGAGGGGAGGCGGGGGCAGAGGTGGGGGCACTCACCTGCCGGGCCAGCTGGGCAGAGGCAGAGCACGGCCAGGGCCAATAGGGCGAGGATCGTCAGGGGCCTCATGGCGTGGCTGTCAGTGGCCGCCCGGGCTGCTGCTGGACTTCGGCTGTTCTGCCTCTCCCGCCAGCACCATTTTATACCCTGGGCTGCGCCCCGGAGGCGAGGGTGGGTCAGGGGGAATCTGCCAGGGCTATTTGGGGGTCATCCGCCCCGGCTCTGTAGGCCAAACCCCAAAGGATGTTGTGGTTGGAGCTGAGCTGCCTGGCCAGGCCCCTGGAAGTGATGGAGGAGGGTGTGGGCCGCCAGCCTCTGGACAGGCCTGGCCCCTCCCCAAGGGGGTCACCTCAAGTCCCCCAGCCTCAGTTTGAGCACCAGCTGGGTGGAGTAGGAGGGGCAGGAGGGGAGAAAGGGGGGCTCGAGGTCTAAAATAGACTCAAGTAGAGCTGGACTGTCGCTCTAAGACTGTGATTTCCACTGACGGCCTGTGGGCAGGAGCCAAACCCCAGGGAGGGAGGGGCCCAAGGCGGCGATGCCCTCGTTCACCCGGAGGCACCCTGCCCCGGACAGACACCAGGGGGAGGCCTGGTACGGGAGCCGCTCGGCTCTGCTCAGGCCTCGTGTGTCGGGACTGGAACCCAAAGCCGAGAGGTGGGCCGGGAGTGAGAGCAGGAACAGCTCTTCTGTCTGGGGCGGTGGGGACCCTCTCCCCTGCGCCTCTGGCACGTGGGGAGGCAGAGCCAGTGAGGAGCAGGGAGAGGGCCCCTCTGCCTGGCCGTACGGCCTCCCCAGTGTTAGCAACTGTGGGGACCTGTCTCCCAAGAGGCACACATCCAGCCTGAAAAGGCCCATCCCAGCACACCTGGGAGCCAAGTCCCGCTCGGCCCAGCCCGGAGAGGAGGGAGGGTGTTCTCACGCCCAGCCCACCGCAGGTGGGGACCTGACCAGGCGCTCCCCGCCCGCCCCACCGCCCCGTGTTTGGATGCCGCGGCTCCACTGAGCTTAATTCGGGGCAGCAGGTGGCCAGCAAGGGCCGCCCTGATGTCCGAGTGTTCCCAGTGCTCCCAGACGGACCGCACCTGGCCTCTCCGGGGCCCTGCCTGTACCCATCCCCTCACCGCTGGCCAGAGGAAGCACCCATCCTGCCCGGGGCCGAGCCCCCCCTGATGCCTGGCTGAGCCCTGGCCGGGGAAGGGGGCAGAGCACCAGCTACTTGGAGGACCCACCCGCTGGCGTGCATGCTCACCGTGTGCACACCCTGGGGGAGGTGGGGGAGGCACAGAGCCTTTCTCACAATGAACCCAGACGGCAAAGAGGGGTGGAACCCAGGGGTCCAGCCTTCTGTGACAAGGCCTTCGCTGCCCTCCTGCACCTGATGGTCGGGTACGGCCTCCCCCCCACCCCCACCCCAGCCAGGGCTCTGAGAGCCAAGAGGGGTCTTGGCCTGGGAGAGGCCCCGCGGAGGAAGCATCCTCACAGATTACAGTGTAGGAAGTGCAGGAAGTTTATTTACGGATGTGGGGAGAACATGGCACGGGTCCTCAGGCTGGCCAGCAAGGGGGCAATCAGTGGAGAACGAACACAGACTCCCCGAGTG